GTATGTGTGTATGTGTGTATGTGTGTATGTGTGTATGTGTGTATGTGTGTATGTGTGTGTTGTGTTTGTGTGTGTGGTGTGTATGTGTGGGTGTTGGTGTGTGTGTGTGTTGTGTGTGTGTGTGGGTGTGTGTGTTGTGTGTGTGTGTGTGTTGTGTGTGTGTGTTGTGTGTTGGTGTGTGGTGTGTGTGTTGGTGTGCGTGTGTGTGTGTGTGTGTGTGTTGGTGTGTTGTGTGTGTGGTATGTGTGTGTTGTGTGTGTGTGTGTGTGTGTTTGGTGTGTGCTGGTTTGTTGTGTGGTGTGTGTGTTGTGTGTGTGTTGTGTGTTGGCTGTGTGTGTGTGCGTGTGTGTGTGTGTGTGTTTGTGTGTTGTGTGTGTGTTGTGTGTTGTGTGGTGTTGTGTGTTGTGTTTTGTGTGTGTGGTGTGTGTGTGGTGTTTGTGTGTTGTTGTGTGGTGTTTGTGTTGTCCCCCCCCCCCTGTCCCCGTTGTGACCTCATTCCGTGGTTATTTCTTTTTCCCTCTTTACCCTTTCCCCTCGTGAAGACATCAACTATGAAATAACACATATATCATGTAGGAAACAAAAGAGTGTAAAATCAAAATTTGTTTTATATTTGAGATTCTTCAAATAGCCACCCTTTGCCTTGATGACAGCTTTGCACACTCTTGGCATTCTCTCAACCAGCTTCACCTTTCAAAGTTCTTGAAAAGTTCCGTATTGGCTGACCTTCATGTCTTAAAGTAATGATGGTACTGTCCGTTTCTCTTTGCTTAGACATGAAGTCGGTCAATACCAAAAAAATGGTCAAAGAAACTTGAAAGTTTCTTCATTTGCAGTTGCAAAAACCATCAAGCGCTATGATGAAACTGGCTCTCATAAGAACCGCCACAGGAATGGAAGACCCAGAGTTACCTCTGCTGCAGAGGATAAGTTCATTAGAGTTATCAGCCTCAGAAATTGCAGCACAAATAAATGCTTCACAGAGTTCAAGTAACAGACACATCTCAACATCAACTGTTCAGAGGAGACCGTATGAATCAGGCCTTCATGGTCGAATTGCTGCAAGAAACCACTACTAAAGGACACCAATAAGAAGAGACTTGATTGGGCCAAGAAACACGAGCAATGGACATTAGACCGGTGGAAATGTGTCCTTTGGTCTGGAGTCCAAATTGGAGATTTTTGGTAGGTGAACGGATGATCTCCGCATGTGTGGTTCCCACCGTGAAGCATGGAGGAGATGGTGTGTGGGTGCTTTGCTGGTGACACTGTCTGTGATTTATTTAGAATTCAAGGCACACTTAAACAGCATGGCTACCACAGCATTCTGCAGCGATACACCATCCCATCTGGTTTGGGCTTTGTTTTTCAACAGGACAATGACCAAAAACACACCTCCAGGCTGTGTAAGGGCTATTTGACGAAGAAGGAGAGTGATGGAGTGCTGCATCATATGACCTGGCCTCCCCAATCCCCCGACCTCAACCAAATTGAGATGGTTTTGGATGAGTCGGACCGCTGAGTGAAGGAAAAGCAGCCACAAGTGCTCAGCATATGTGGGAACTCCTTCAAGACTGTTGGAAAAGCATTCCAGGTGAAGCTGGTTGAGAGAATGCCAAGAGTGTGCAAAGCTGTCATCCAGGCAAAGGGTGGCTATTTGAAGAATCTCAAATATAAAATACTTTTTTGGTTACTACATGATTACATATGTGTTATTTCATAGTTTTGATGTCTTCACTGTTATTCTACAATGTAGAAAATAGTAAAAATAAAGAAAAACCCTTGAATGAGTAGGTGTTCTAAAACTTTTGACCGGTAGTGTATACCCTAACAAGCAAACCAAAATGGAATCTGGAAATATTTTTTTTGCCTCTAGTGTAGGAGCTTTTTTTTGCCTCTAGTGTAGATTTTAAAAAATCCTTTGCATTGGACTCATTAAAGAAAAAATCTTTGTCCAGTTCGAGGTGAGTAATCGCTGTTCTGATATCCAGAAGCTCTTTTCGGTCATAAGAGACGGTAGCAGCAACATTATGTACAAAATAAGTTACAAACAATGCGAAAAAACTATCAAAATAGCACAGTTGATCCTTTTATAACTATTCATTAACTATTCTCAAATTGCTTTAAACCAAAACACAGAGTGGTAGAGTTTGTGTGTGTGATTGACATGCATTGTAGTGTTCAATGCTATTATACTTTGCATTCAACAACATTTTTCTCTGAGGCTCCTTCTACGCTGACTAAGTAGCATCTGATAATGTGAGAAGTCTCTCTACATCCACTGAGGTAGTGGAGAGGCACAGACGTATCATCGCAATGTGAGCCAAGGCTGGCATCCTGTCCTGCCTAGCTGCCCACCAGTCCACTGCACTCACTTCCATAGTGTCTGCTTTGCCGATGGCCATGTATCTGTGCCCCTCCTCTGCAGACACCTGACTCAGAGCAGGGATGGCATGGACATACTCCTTAATGTCCTTTCTTGCGCCTACTACTTGGGCTGGATCTAGAACAGTTAGTGACTTGAACAGGTGAAGGCAGGGGTGCTTCTCCAGCACAGTCTGCAGCTTGATTGAACATGCTGCCATGGTAGACTGGAACAACTCTGTGCAGGAGAGCCTGTCTTCCTCTGGAAGCTACCCCAGCAGTTCAGTTGTATGAGGGTGCCAGTCATCAGCCCCAGCTGTTCTACCATACTCAAACTGCATTTGCAGGTCCTCCAGCTTGCTGGATGTTGTTGTGGGCTGTTGGTACAGAGGTCTCCTCCAGCTTTGTCAGGTTAGCCACTATCTCCAGACTATGCTCCACAATGAACACTGCCTGGGTCTTTAGCTGGGCCTTGTGTTCCCTCAGCAGCTCACAAAGGTCCTGGAGACACTTTGCTGTTTCTGGGAAGGTTGTAGTGAAGTCTGTGAGCACATCCATGTACTCTGTCAGGTACTCCACAGCATGTATCCAGGAGACCCACCTGGTCTGCACAGCATACACAGGCATCACAGGAGAATGGCCATTTTCCAGAATGAATTATCTCCGCTCCAGACAATGCTGGGGTGCCTGACAGAACACCTTCTTCACCAGAGCACACAGCCTGTTCACGTCCTCAAACACCTCTGGAAAAACATTCAGCACCAGGCTCAGGAGATGGGCAAAGCAGGTGACGTGTCCAGAGTTGGAAGAGGCCCTTCAAGATGCTGGTGAAAGCCTTCTTCATGTAGCTAGCTGAGTCGCTTACAAAAGCCCACACATTGTTAAAGTCAACCCCATTGTTGTTGAGACAGGAAATGGCAGCTTGAGACACAGTGGAAAAGTTGACTTTATCCAAGAAAGCCAGGTCTACTACAACAGGTCGCTCACCCACTGGCTGGAGTAGGATGGCGAGTGCACATCTTCCAAAGGCATTGGTCGTCTCATCAAGGATGACATAAATGTCCTTTCCCTCTACAGCATCTTTGATGTCCTGCTCATGTTGTGGATAAAGCTCTGGCAGGTACTCTGTACGCGGATGGGATGACGCTGGGTAGGCCCTCCCTGCTTGCAGTGTTTCTTCAGAAATGTGGAGAACTTGGGCCCCTTCTCAAGAGGTATATATGCTTAGATTAATGTTCTTGTGAAGTCCAAGCTGGACTCCTGTGAAGGGGGTCTTTGACAGACAGGAGGCCAGTGTAGCGAATAATAGTTAAATTCTGGTAAATGTAAGAATTCTCAGGGAGTTCAATAGCAGGCCTACAGTGGATCTCAAGCTTTGAAGCTAAGCACACTCTCTCCTGAAGCGACACACACACACACACACAGCGCATAAACCTGACACAGAGGCCTGGAACACACAGACAGCCCATAAACCTGACAGTATGTCTCTCTCACAAAGACATTTTCAAACAATGACCAAAAAAAGTAACATGTCTGTGACTTGCTGCTTTTGTAATTCTTAACTTGTCTCTTGTTTTGATAGCTCCACCACGTCACTTTGGTTAACTTGTTAGCTACCTATCATTACCTCAGCTAAGTTAGCTAGCTAGCGTAAATGACGTGATGTAGCTGGAGTGACAACATGGGAAGCTTGCCAGACTAACGTTAGCTAGCAAGCTAACTTGCCACTATGTAGATACAGACAAAAATGTAATTGTCAAGAACAGATATTAGCTAACTAGAACAAACCTATTAGCTAGTTAATATATATGTAGCTAGCTAAAGCATCAGATTTTCGTCGGAATTCTGCGTGCGTGGATTCCGTGCGGTTCTACTAATAAGCAACTAAGTCTAAAACACTGAAATATTTAAATGTCATAAAATACAAATTACATGACCCTCGCCCTGACTAGATTTAAAAAATACTAAACCCTCCCCTTGACTGAAATTGGAAAGCATGACCCTCCCCCATTTTCCTCCAGGTAACCATTCTGTAAATTTGTATCCCTCCCTTAGCAGGTTTGACTTTGTATATCTTCTGTTCTGCCCTGTACTGCTGCAGCACAACCCTGAGACTAATTTCCTCTGGCCCTTAAACCACATGGTCTTTAGGCTATGTCACTGGTCTGATCATAGCAAGAAAAGTACATATTTACGAAGCTGAAGAAGAAAAAGGGATCATTTTTTGTTTTTTCTCTCATTGTAAATACAACACCACAACTTGGATCCATGATTCATCTATGATTTCAATAGAAAGAAAAATAATTTTAATGTTGTAACTAATCTATATGAATAGTAAAAAAATATTGTTTTAAGTGTTATAGCAGGTCAAAGCATAACAAATAATTTGGTGGGACAGTATTGCATTGCATTAGTGAGTCTGTCTCCCTCTTCAGTCTGCCGTGGATAAAACATTAACTGGTTAGTTCCTTTCTGAGTCACATCCTCTACCAGTGAGGTCAGTGTAGGAAATGAGACTGATCATCAGATATTCCCCTCTGTTCGTATTATCACTGTAACAGACTGATTTCAAGTCGCAAGTTTCGATGTTGCTGTGTTGCTTGCTTGATTCTTCTTATTTGTTTTTTGTTTTATTTCAGGTGATGCAGGACAAAATCATCTGCCTTCCCCAGAGAATGTCCATGCCGAACCAAACAATACTCTTACCAAATAAAACCGAGCTGGTCTCACCCGTTGTGTCACAGGATGTGCATGAGATGATGGGCCTGAAAACCAACCTGGACCTCCAGCAGTACAGCTTCATCAACCAGATGTGCTACGAGAAGGCTCTGCACTGGTACGCCAAGTACTTCCCTTACCTGGTCCTTATTCACACCCTGATCTTCATGGTGTGTAGCAACTTCTGGTTCAAGTTCCCAGGCTCTAGCTCTAAGATAGAGCATTTCATCTCCATCTTGGGAAAGTGCTTTGACTCCCCCTGGACTACCAGAGCTCTGTCTGAGGTGTCTGGAGAGAACCCAGAGGAGAAGGTATTGTTTGAATATGTGTGTGTACATGCCTAAAATAATTTTTATTCCAGGACTAGGCTCAATCTGTGTCAGAGAAACCGGACATGTACTGTATATATTTTAAATATGTCAAATAAAGTGCATTAATTCATTGAAGGACAAGAAGAGCAGTGCCAGCAGAGCGATCCTCAACTTGTCTGTAGAGGGGAAGCTGGACAACCTGGAGAAGACCCAGTCCCTCAAATCCATCCCAGAGAAGATCGTAGTGGACAAGCCCACAGCCAGCGCCCTGGAAAAGAAGGAAGGAGAGCAAGCCAAAGCTCTGTTTGAGAAGGTGAAGAAGTTTCGCCTGCACGTCGAGGAGGGGGACATCCTCTATATTATGTATGTTCGCCAGACTGTTCTCAAAGTGATGAAGTTCCTCCTCATCATCGCGTATAACAGTGCGTTAGTCTCTGAGGTACAGATCACAGTGAAGTGCAGTGTGGACATACAGGACATGACGGGATATAAGCATTTCTCCTGTAATCACACCATGGCCCACCTGTTCTCCAAGCTGTCATACTGTTACCTATGCTTCGTGGCTGTGTATGGATTCACCTGCCTCTACACTTCCTACTGGCTCTTCTACCGCTCGCTGAAGGAGTACTCCTTTGAATACGTACGGCAGGAAACGGGAATCGATGACATCCCAGACGTGAAGAATGACTTTGCCTTCATGCTGCATATGATCGACCAGTATGACCCACTGTACTCCAAGAGGTGCGTTGTCTTTTTAATTGTACAAGTAATTTAGCTCTTCATTGCTATTGATAAGTATGCAATGCCTCCAATTGTAAAAGTTTCCTTTGCCCATCCATGGACAATAAAGTCATCTTTGTCTTCATCTTCTTCTCTCTTTCGCTCTCCCTCTCAGATTCGCAGTGTTCCTGTCGGAGGTCAGTGAAAACAAACTAAAACAGCTGAACCTGAACCATGAGTGGACGCCAGAGAAGCTGCGTCAGAGACTGCTGACCAACCACAACAACAGACTGGAGCTGCAGCTCTTCATGCTGTCTGGGCTTCCGGACACCATCTTCGAGGTGACAGAGCTCCAGTCCCTAAAGCTAGAGATCATCAACAACGTAACCATCCCAGCCTCCATCGCCCAGCTTGAAGACCTTCAGGAGCTTTCTCTGTATCAGTGTTATTTAAAGATCCACGCCACAGCCACCTCCTTCCTCAAGGAGAACCTCAAGGTATGCTATTCTACCGTATGCTATTTTCGTAGTCTTTTGGTATGGCATGTTTTTAGTTTTTTTTATGGCTGCTGGCGCTGTATTCTGTTTTTGTCTCGTACAATATGTGTATTTTGTCTGTATTTGTTATTGACATGACATTTCCCCTCAGGGATTAATAGGTGAGGAGTATTTCTGTCTGTAATTAAGCCCTTTTGTGGGGAGAAACTCATTCTTTGGCTGCCCAGTCATGTGAAATCCATAAATTAGGGCCTAATTAATTTATTTCAATTGACTGAAATTCCTTCTATGAACTGTAACTCAGTAAAATCTTTGAAGTTGTTGCATGTTGCGTTTTATATTTTTGTATATCTATCTATCTAAGGTGCTCAGGGTGAAGTTCGACGATAGCAGGGAGCTGCCTCATTGGCTGTACCATCTGCGGAATCTAGAGGAGCTCTACCTCATTGGCTCACTGAGTCCTGACGCTTCTAAAAATGTGGTTCTGGAGTCCCTGAGGGAGCTGAAGAATCTGAAGACCCTATCGCTCAAAAGTAACTTTACAAAGATCCCCCAGTCCGTCGTGGACGTGTCCAGCCACCTGCAGAGGCTGTACGTCTACAACGACGGCACTAAGCTGGTGATGCTCAACAATTTGAAGAAGATGGTGAACCTGACTGAACTGGAGCTGGTGCACTGTGACCTGGAACGCATCCCACATGCTGTCTTCAGCCTCACGAACCTACAGGTATGATATGCTGTACTTTGACTGTCTGCTACCTGAGTGGTCCACAATGGGGTTTTTAAATGTGTAATGAGTTATTCCTTTCAGCTCCTAGTGGCGCAAATGGCTTCAATGGTGCATCTCCAGTTAACTCTGTTCTGGGTGGTTTTCTTGACCTCAAATATGCTAAATGTATTGCCAATTGCTGTAATATTGTGGAGTGACACTTAAAATAAAATGTTCTAACTCTACAGGAGTTGGACCTGAAAGAAAACAACCTGCACTCCATCGAGGAGATAGTCAGCTGCCAGCACCTCCGCAAACTGACGTGCCTGAAACTCTGGCACAACAGTATCTGCTACATCCCAGAACACATCAAGAAGCTGGGCAGCCTAGAGCGCCTCTACTTTAGCCACAACAAGATTGAGATCTTGCCCTCGCACCTGTTCTTATGCAACAAGCTTCGTTACCTGGACCTGTCCAACAACGACATCCGGTTCATTCCGCCGGAGATCGGCGTCCTACAGAGTCTTCAGTACTTCTCTGTCACATGCAACAAGATCGAGAACCTCCCAGACGAGCTGTTCTTTTGCAAGAAGCTCACAACCCTCAAGCTGGGCAAGAATACGCTGTCGTTGCTCTCACCAAAGATCTCATACCTGGTTCTATTGACACACCTAGAACTGAAGGGCAACCATTTTGAGCTCCTGCCTCCAGAGCTTGGGTTCTGCCGGGCATTGAAGCGCAGCGGCCTAATTGTGGAGGATGCCCTGTTTGAAACCTTGCCTTCGGAAATCAGAGACAAAATGAAGGCTGAGTGAAATGCCTTACAGTATCTGTGCAAAAGGCCCTGGGATAGACTAGCGTCCTTTCCAGGGGGTGTACTTCAAGCTGCATTACACTACATAAACAGGTGATTGGCTCCTGCCGTACGGGCCATTCTGGCTCAGACAAGCCAAGTTACTTATCTGTTCAAAAAGAAAATGCCAATTTTGTCTGACAATCCTAGTCTACCAAAATTGTAGATTTACTGTATTATTAGCACATCATGATCAAACTCTAAGCACTGTACCCTAAGTTTGTTATAGGGGGAAGATGTGATATTCATGGGTGAATGTTTTAGTATTATGTCTGTTTTACTTCATGACAGAAGGGAATATGGCTTTGTTTTAATTTTTAAATGGTTCTTAACAATATAATTAGTCACAGGCAAGGTACAGTATACTTAGCCTGGGTACCAGTCTGTTTGTGCTAACATTCGACTCATTGTACTCCGTCATATGCCAAACATAATGTTTGGCATGACATGGAGTGGCAAGGAATGGAAGGATAGCACAAACAGATATGTTTTCTTCTGTAGTTGCTAATTGACACATGTTAATTAACATAAGCATTTTGCTAATGTTATGCTAATTAAGGCCTGCTTTTTTTATGGCTATTGCATTGCTGCTTGAATACTTTTCATGAGTTTTATATTGTTTGTTTGCCTGCCATATGCTATGCTATGTAGCTGCTAGCCTAGCCTGCTCTAGCTTTGGCCTTCTGTGCCACATGCTATTGCACCCCCTTTTCCATTTGATTTGTTGTATTGCTGCTATATTTATGTATAGCTTTACTCATTTATTTTGCATTTGTATATTACCTTTGATATTCATACAAATTAAGTCAATTAGTTATGCACATTATTGCATGCTATTTGTACCATTCTTTGTCTCCTTTGTAGATAAACCATACATGCATACATGCATACATGCATACATGCATACATACATACAGCCCTGACCTCAACCCCATCGAACACCTTAAGCATGAATTGGAACGCCGACTGCGAGCCAGGCCTAATCGCCCAACATCAGTGCCCGACCTCACTAATGCTCTTGTGGCTGAATGGAAGCAAGTCCCCGAAGCAATGTTCCAACATCAAGTGGAAAGCCTTCCCAGAAGAGTGGAGGCTGTTATAGCAGCAAAGGAGGGACCAACTCCATATTAATGCCCATGATTTTGCAATGAGATGTTCAACGAGCAGGTGTCCACATACTTTTGGTCATGTAGTGTACCTACGTACAAATAATTGTTGAAGACTGGCAACAACTATCAACTGTTCACCTAACTGAACTTGTGCTGATATTAAACTAATCTGAACCTATTCCATGCCATGAACCATCTTCATGTGAATATATATAGACTCATAACTTCATCTCTGCCTCTGTCTGCTCCCTCACCACAGCCCCACAGTAGTTGAGCATCATCCATTCACCAGTCCTACATCTATTCTTTACAGAGAGATTTAATGTTTTATCCTGAAGCGCCTCATATTTGGACTTAATATACTGTTCAAAGATAGATACTGTATACTCCAATGGTTTCTGAAATAACAATGAAGGTAACCAATCACTTGTCTGTGTGAGCCCCAGTTGCAGCACATACTTATTACCCTATTCATTATATTACATTTTTATACTCCATACCCATATCAAAGGCCAAGTTATAACCTATACTACAACACTTAATTTGCACTGGAAACTTGTTCCTACATCCATATTTTAAATGAATGCTCTATACCGATTTGATTCTTGAAGAATACAGTGGGGAAAAAAGTATTTAGTCAGCCACCAATTGTGCAAGTTCTCCCACTTAAAAAGATGAGAGAGGCCTGTAATTTTCATCATAGGTACATGTCAACTATGACAGACAAATTGAGATTTTTTTTCTCCAGAAAATCACATTGTAGGATTTTTAATGAATTTATTTGCAAATTATGGTGGAAAATAAGTATTTGGTCACCTACAAACAAGCAAGATTTCTGTCTCTCACAGACCTGTAACTTCTTCTTTAAGAGGCTCCTCTGTCCTCCACTGGTTACCTGTGTTAATGGCACCTGTTTGAACTTGTTATCAGTATAAAAGACACCTGTCCACAACCTCAAACAGTCACACTCCAAACTCCACTATGGCCAAGACCAAAGAGCTGTCAAAGGACACCAGAAACAAAATTGTAGACCTGCACCAGGCTGGGAAGACTGAATCTGCAATAGGTAAGCAGCTTGGTTTGAAGAAATCAACTGTGGGAGCAATTATTAGGAAATGGAAGACATACTAAGACCACTGATAATCTCCCTCGATCTGGGGCTCCACGCAAGATCTCACCCTGTGGGGTCAAAATGATCACAAGAACGGTGAGCAAAAATCCCAGAACCACACGGGGGGACCTAGTGAATGACCTGCAGAGAGCTGGGACCAAAGTAACAAAGCCTACCATCAGTAACACACTACGCCGCCAGGGACTCAAACCTGCAGTGCCAGACGTGTCCCCCTGCTTAAGCCAGTACATGTCCAGGCCCGTCTGAAGTTTGCTAGATGCATTTGGATGATCCAGAAGAGGATTGGGAGAATGTCATATGGTCAGATGAAACCAAAATAGAACTTTTTGGTAAAAACTCAACTCGTCGTGTTTGGAGGACAAAGAATGCTGAGTTGCATCCAAAGAACACCATACCTACTGTGAAGCATGGGGGTGGAAACATCATGCTTTGGGGCTGTTTTTCTGCAAAGGGACCAGGACGACTGATCCGTGTAAAGGAAAGAATGAATGGGGCCATGTATCGTGAGATTTTGAGTGAAAACCTCCTTCCATCAGCAAGGGCATTGAAGATGAAACGTGGCTGGGTCTTTCAGCATGACAATGATCCCAAACACACCGCCCGGGCAACGAAGGAGTGGCTTCGTAAGAAGCATTTCAAGGTCCTGGAGTGGCCTAGCCAGTCTCCAGATCTCAACCCCATAGAAAATCTTTGGAGGGAGTTGAAAGTCCGTGTTGCCCAGCGACAGCCCCAAAACATCACTGCTCTAGAGGAGATCTGCATGGAGGAATGGGCCAAAATACCAGCAACAGTGTGTGAAAACCTTGTGAAGACTTACAGAAAATGTTTGACCTGTGTCATTGCCAACAAAGGGTATATAACAAAGTATTGAGAAACTTTTGTTATTGACCAAATACTTATTTTCCACCATAATTTGCAAATAAATTCATTAAAAATCCTACAATGTGATTTTCTGGATTTTTTTTCCTAATTTTGTCTGTCATAGTTGACGTGTACCTATGATGAAAATTACAGGCCTCTCTCATCTTTTTAAGTGGGAGAACTTGCACAATTGGTGGCTGACTAAATACTTTTTTTCCCCCACTGTATAACTTATAGATGACTCATGAGCTTAGTTCAACTGTAGTACCCCATCAGAACCCAACATAAAAGCGTGTTTTACTCCTTTGTTTGTAAACAATGTAAATGTAAACAAACACTATAGCCTCAACATGTTAAAACTATAATGTTGATATTATGGATGATTAGTTCTTGTATCCATAGCTCTGTCCTAGCTTCAAGAACCCAAGTGGGGTATGCCCAATTTACAGCCGACGCTCTGTCTAAACGCAAATACGCCTCACTTTCGATACGATTTTGGAAACCTTTGGAATGTAACGTTCATATAAGTGAGAAATAATCTTTAAAGTACCAAAGATACACTTAGTGTGCACAGTTTAGCAAAGCTGCACCCAGCTGTTTTCACATGCCACCTCGGGCACGACACATCCTCTCACCTTTTGCTCGCATTTCCATTCAACCATTCCATTCAACATTTCCTGTGTTTCTCAAAATACAGCCGGGGGCAGCTTTCCTAAATTGCGTACAGTACGTGTCGTTTATTTTTCTATTTAATTTTGTTTATTTCTCGCTTATGAGCATTAAATTACAAATGTTTTCAAAACTGTATCGCGTGCGAGGTGTATTTGCGTTTAGACAGAGCATTTGGGTGAAAATCCCCTGAAGCTGCAGACAACTTGTGAATAGACAGTATAATGTTTTAATAACATTTACCATCTATTTGAATGGGCTAGCTCTGTCCATGAGTTTGAGGGTGGTTACATTCTCCATCCCTCTGCTGTTTACCAAATCAGTGGCGGGGTGTCACTTTGTTTGAACTGCAGATTGACCCTTTTAAGCTCAAAGCTTAAACAACATTATTTGATCAGGTCAATAACCACATGCTTGATCATTTCAACCCATGGCTGTTACTTTTTGAGATTATAGAAACACTAAAAAGGGAAATATTGAATCTGAACCACTGTTACTTCTCTACTCAGGTAGTCTCTATATTATATTGAATATTTATAGAACGGTGTAATCGGCTACAAGTGAAATGTGGACTCACTCAGCTGTAGCTGTTCGTCAGTAGCCTGTGGCAATACTATATTTATAAGGAGGGCTAGTTTATTTCAGTTAAGCAACAGTTTACACAAGCTAAAAAAGAGTAAGGAACATATCTTTATTACAATCCACAAAACACCTTGCACATGCCTTTTATAGACAGATTTATACTTTTTGGTCCTCAGAGAGGTAAATAAAGTCCATGCCTTAGACATTACAGTGTATCATCAGAGCTGCAGATCACTGCAAAGGTGCCATGGTCAGCTAATATCTTAAAGTATAAAAACAGTACCGTATCTACAGTATTTACGGGTTTATAGTCTAATGCTAAATATTCCCCCCAAATTACTATAGATGGTGATGAAAGATAATAAAAAAGTAAACTACCGGTTAGGGGTGTAACGATTCGTTTTAACAACGATTCGATTTGTATCACGATTCGTGGTTGTCGATACGATTCAAGGACGATATTGGTTCATTTAGAACGATACGATCCGAAACGATTCAGTGACTTGAAATCGATTCAGAAACCTTTTAGCCAAAAATTCAACCAGTGTGACTGAAATAAATACCTGGATACTGGACAGTGCAGGTGAAGTTTCCTAGATTCCTGTTTCT